CTTACTCTAAAACTACAGTCAATTATTTGTATTTAATTATTTTACCTTTTCTTCTTTGCTGTAGAATTACTATAAATTTTTAATTATATACGTATGTTACTTTCTCTTTCGTGTCTTGTAGATAAGACACTGGGTTAGTTGTTTTTCAATATTTGATGTGTTAATAAGTCAGCAAACACTTATATGTGATTTGTTAATATAATATAAAGAACATTTTTTTTTGTTTGAAGTTAAGCACAAAGCTACACAAAAGGCTATCTGTGCTCTGCCCACCACGGGTATCGAAACCCGGTTTCCAGCGTTGTAAGTCCGCAGACATACCGCTGTGCCACTGGGAGGCATAAAGAACAAAAATGTAATTTTCATAGTTATAGAATATACTGCTAACTAAGAAATAAGGCCAAATATTTGTTAATGCCGGATGACAATGAACCCCGCAATGAGCCCGCAAGCTTATTATTGACCCCCTTGGCGTATTATAATATAAAAACACACGTTTAGATAAATTTAATTTACATGTCGGCGTTTACCATGGATCCTGTTTGTTTCTAATTTTAAAGTGCTAATTAAATTATTCCATTTGAAGTTTTAAATTTTCATTTATCGTTATTAAGTTCCATTTTTACTGGTACAATGGAATCCCACTAATTTGTATTCCTCTAAGTAGCAACTATGTAAATTTCCTATATAAAAAAAAAGCAACTGGAGTCCTAAGAGTTTAGACGCAATTTACAAAAATCCAGCTTCATATACATAGCAGTAAGAGTTTGTTCACGAAAACTTATTGTTAACAAAATCATCTTAATTAATATATCAACCATCTCATTCCTTACAAGTCCAAAAATATTTATCTTTCAAAACGAAATTTATAACGGCATAAGTGTTGTTGGAGAACAGCTTTACAGTAAGTTCTTGATATTAACCTTTAAAGAAAAGGCCTAGAATCTCGGAGTTTTGTATAGTTGATATAGAATTTTGATTACGTGATAATATGTTGTAAAAAACTTACGACAGAGCTTAGAAATCAAGCGACACCTTCTGGCATGCTGTATTAGAAGAAATATTTTGTAAAATTTTTATTTTAGGTATATATAACACAACAATTCGATAATTATTCTGATTCCCAGTTCAAAATTATGGACGGCTAGCTCAGCTAACCCTTGTGCAGCTTTGCACGAAATAATCGAAATGAATAAATAGAGTGGGTCGGGGCATAATTAAAAACACGTTTTCACCTTCTTACTTAAAATAAATTTTAATAGATTTTGAAGATTTTATGGACTTCTTCACTCCAATATCTCCTATATAACACGTTCAGTTTATCCAGGATGCAAGGGAGCATTTTAAGAAGTTACACACAATGCCTCAAACCAACAGGATTTTCCTCTGCCTTGCGCTCGTTACTTCAATAGTAGGAAATAAAACAGAATCGTTCTTTCCATGAGTCGCTTTCAAGCTAACTACCTATAGTACAATCAGGGTTGTTGTAATTCTCTTCCTTTCCCTCTCTAAATCTATCGTTGGAGAGCAATTCCGGTCAGTTGTCGTTGTTCCAGCCTTATTTTATATAATGTTTAAGAGCATTCCAGGTCAGTTGTCGTTGTTCCAGGCTTATTTTATATAATGTTGAAGAGCATTCCAGGTCAGTTGTCGTTGTTCCAGGCTTATTTTATATAATGTTTAAGAGCATTCCAGGTCAGTTCTCGTTGTTCCAGGCTTATTTTATATAATGTTGAAGAGCATTCCAGGTCAGTTGTCAATGTTCCAGGCTTATT